GAGGACAAGGAAGCTTTAGCATCCACTGCCTACAACTTGCCTAACATCTGCAAGATAATCAGAAACAGAAGAGTGTAGACAGAGTTGGGGGGATATTGTCTGATCTGTACCCTTCCCTGTGATCAGAAGCCATGAAGCATGAGGAGAAGGAAATAAGCAGACCACAAACAGTGCAGAAACAAGGTCATGAGGAAGGAACCAGAAGATGAGAGATTTGGGTCAAGAGTGAACTGTGCAGAAAAATACTATTTTCCACTGCTGGTCGCTTCCTTTGCCTGGAATTTGTATACATTTTATTTAGAAGAAAGAGATATATTGGTATATGACTGCTAAAAATTCAGAACAGTTCTTAATAATGAGGAATAAATGCTTTTTCCCTGTCAATGCAAGCTACTATCCCCTTTCTTACATATGGGTAAAGCTGAACAAATGGCTATACTGATAGAATTATTGCAGTGTGAAAAGGTGGATATTCATCCTACGATTACCAGGACAATTTGATTCCTTCACCTTTCCCATTCTTATAAATGTGACTAATTGTGGTGAAGCAGGTTCAGGACCCACTGAATGAAATTAAAGATAACAGCCCACAAGAATAAGATGTCCTTTCCCTCTGTGTAAACAACAATCAAGTGCTGTTTTTAACTACAAGATGGCTTTATTGCTCCCATTTGTTTTATTGATTCTTCACCATCCATTACTTAATTAAACTCAAAATACAAACCTGGCTTTATCATTACTGAGCCTGTGAGCAATCATTAAGTGTCACTGAGCCAGCTCTTCATGTGGTTTTACAAACCTTTACTTTTGAGGATAGGGTAAGAAGAGCTTATTGGATCTGGCTTGGCTATTCTGAAATCAATAGGTGGTATAAGATCCTGAACACACTAGTGCAGTGCAAGATAAAATATAGAGTCAGGAGGCCTGTTTAGCTGATGCCTTTCATCAGTATTATAAACATACACCAGGCCAAAACCAGAGTCAAACACAGTTGAATTAGCTTTCTAGTGCCCCATGGAAATACCCTCCTTCCCTGCAATAGTTTTTCCACAGCAAGCTTTCTAAATTATATCATGTTTCTCCTTCCTGGCACTCTTTAACTCTTTCTTCTGCGAATATCCAGTAATACAAGTTCTTTGATAAGTTCTTATATACTTTTAGTTCTTATATACTTTTCCCTTCTTTTTTTTTTTCCTTCCTCGGTGTTTTATGTGGCTTTTCTTTTTTATTTTATTCCATCCTGAAAAACATTTCAGCTCATTCAGTGGAGTTGCTATAATTTTTGCTCAGTGCTTTTAGGTTCATACTCCTCTCCCAACTTTTTCCATCAAGGAAGCCAGGATCTGAGATCCCTCCCATGTTTAATTTAATCAGCATTTCAGATTAGCACAGTACTACCCATGTATGTGAGGGAACAAAAGAAACTTAGCATGAACTTTGTGATCGCTGCTTGCTTAGCAGGACTGGTTTACAACTTTTCTGTAGGAACAGCAGAATCAGATTAGTGAAAACTTTTTATTGTTCTAAAGTTCTCTTGAGACACTGAGAAAAAAAGACCAAAACAAAGGACAGCTTGAGGGTGAAAAAGGTGTCAGGAACAGAGGTTGTCTGCTGCAAGAGTTCCCAGGTAGCAGGCAACCTGATCTTCTCTAGACATTTCTGAGAAAGTTCTCAGATGTTGCTGAGTCAGTGCTCTTACAGTGTCCCTCAAGAATTAATTAAAAGCAGTGAAGAATATGCTTTGCTTCCTCAGTAGGATTTTTTTTTTCCTGAAACTGTTTGAGCAGCTTTGGCTGGAGGAAATGGGAGACAGCTGCCATTATCACATAAAGGCAATACCACTTCCTCCCAGACAGGAGTCACAGGTATAGGGGTCGAAACAGCAGCTGGAAGTCTTTCAAACACATGAGCTTTAATTAGACATACTCAGAATAATTGGAGAAGGTTTGTACCAGACCACCTGGAAGCAAGTTTCAGATGTTTACCAATACGGGTAAAGCACCTCTGCCTAACCTTTCTTGTTACTGGAATTTTACACAGCTCGATTTAATCTGGGTTGAGAGAACAAGCCTCAAATATGAAGCTCTCAGGAACTTTGTTCAGCTAGTTTACCAAATAAGCTCTGTGCTTGTAATATTGTTGTAAATGCACATTAATTACACAGGAACCTTAGACATATTTGGCAAAGCTCGTTGCCACAGCAGTTGTTGCTGTTTTACATGGTCTATTTAAGCAGTTAGCTTTCTGGTATGGTAATATTACAAAATAAGAACACTCAATGTGGGGAGAAAAGCAACAACCCACCAAGCCTCTTTCTTCCTAATATGGTGAAATAAAAAGCCCTTGGTCTGAGCCAGCTGAAGTGCTGATGGAGTCAAAGCCCAAGGATCAGTGTGGTGCGATGCCTGAAGAGCACAAAGGTCATGGTCAAGATTCACACTGGGAAGGCAGGAAATGTTTTAATTCCCTGACCATGACTAAATGATGGGAGCCAATGATGCTATCAGGGATGCCCTCTTCTTGTCCCAGCTCATGTTCGATTCCAGAATGGTGAGAGCGTTCTTTCCTGCACTTGCTGGCTCGGGAGCTCTGGGCTGTGCTATATAGCTCGAGTAGGGACTTATTTTCACAAGATTTATATTAAGCAGGGACACAAATTTCTCAGTGAGCAGCTGTGTTGGGGTCTCAGGCCTCAAGCTGAAGAGGAGGCTGGTGAGAGACAAGCTGTGACAAGAGGACAGACACCAGCCCTTGGTGTCTCCTCTGCTTGCACAGTGTCCAGTGAACAGGAGCCCCAAACACTGTTGGAATACCAGGCAGTTTTGCCTTTTTCCTTATTTGTGTTCACGATCACCTTTTAAACAAAAGAGCTCAGGTTTTCACAGCAACAAGCAATGGGTTGGTGGGTGCTGTTTGCCCCATGCCACCCCGCTCCCAGCGGAAGAGATGGGGTTTTCTGGCTGCTTCTCAGGAGTTCTGTTTCTGCTGGTTAAAACCTCTGCTCAGGGATGCTTGGTACAGTATTAACTCACCATATTTAAGTCCAGTGATCCTTGCATTTTTCTTATTTGCTAATGTGAGGATGATACATAGGTGAATCCACAAAAGAAAGGGAAATCCATACAAAAACCTCAGAGGCTGGCGTGTCCAGATGCATCATTCCAGTGATTATAATTTTTCAGGTACCTCAGCCATGTGAGGCTTTGGGGACAAAAGCCAACTGAAACTCACATCTCCCCAGAGGGAGAGCTACAACGAAAGCATTTTTAGCCACACTTGTGTCACAAATTCCTCTCACATTTGGTGGCTGTGGCTTGTTCTAATTAAAACAATTACAGTTTCAGCACTGTGTTTTAAAGCAAACAAACTGTTTATGAGGATAAAAACAGAGAGAAATACTGAAAGGAGTGCTTCTCTTCCCAGAGAATGTGTCTCCACCACCACATAGCATGTTCTCTCCTGCTGTAATGTTGTCACCCATCAGAAAGCTTTGCTTCCCAGCTTTGTTTCCAAGAGCACAGGGACTAATTTGGCAGACGAATAATCCATATTACACCTATGAGTGTTCAAAAATAGGCAAAGGCCTGAGCTTTGCCTTATATAAAGCCTGATAATGTCCAAAGCTGGATTTGTTGTGCTCTGTTGTTCCCACCAGAGGTCCCCAGACCGGGGCTCAGATCTAGCCCAGAAGGACCTGCCCAGATAAAGTGAGGAGGCTCTGCCAGCCCCAGGGAAGCATCCAGCCCTTCCAGCGAGGAAGGATAAAGCAGAGGCAGCAGCACAATGAGGGAGAAGCATGCTCAGTCAGCTTTATGAAATAATACATTGTTTATACATCCATTAGGAAAACTTTGATAAGGAGGGAAACACTGAAAAGGAAATAACTTTTTTTCTCCTGGAGTAAAAGTGATGCCTGTGGTTTTAAATAAAAGTGTTTTGGCAGTATCATGCCATACAGAAGAGGAAGAGAAAGGGAAACTGCATTTGAATTAATTCAGATAAGTGAAGGTCAGAAGACCTTATGTCAGAATTTTCCATTAATTCCTATGGTCTAACTCTCTGCCAAAATTGTGTTACCTCCTAACTCCTTTGTACAAATATTGTTGTGGTTATTACTACTGATTACTGTATCTACTGCAATTACACATACAAAAGCTGTTTACAGTGTTGCAGCCATAATAATGCAAAAGAACAAAGTCAGGCAATTTTCATGGTGGGTGTTATATGAGATTTTGAATGAATTTGTATAACTGTCTTCAGCTGCAAGTACTTACAGTGGAGAAAAAGACAAGTACAAAAGAATAAGGAGCAAACTTTGTTTTAATTCAATCCCTGTATTGAATCTTAACTTGAAACTTAGTTTTTGGTGAATCATAATGTTTTTGAACCTGTGATCAAAACCTCTGTTTGACCTAGAATATACTACTTTAATTTAAAGTCAAATGTTGTTTAAAATTAGTTTAACTTAATTAAAAAACCCAAAACTTTTTATAAGGGTTTTCAATTAAAAAGTAATTATTTTTCCAAATTAAAATCTTTCAAGTTTTTTTTTTTCTTTTTTGGAGTGAAGATGAGTTTGTAAAATATTTCAATGTTCCAAATTTTCACTTTTTTCCCCCAGAGAAGTTTTCACTGAGGCATTTCATCCAGTAAGCAGAACAGGAAGGGATAGAAAGAGAAACTGAGGCAAAAAGAAGTGAAAATAGTTTTGCAGGATACCAGTATGAGAAAAAGAAATTGCATTTCCTGAGTTCCCTCTAGATTGTGAAATACTGAAGGACATTAAAGAGATTATCAGATGCAAAATACATGTCCAGCCATTATTGTTGTGAACGATGGAGATCATGACAATTAGCAGAACTGTGTACTTGGCCTCTGAAATCTTGTTCCCTATTTCCTGGTACAGTCACAGGTCAAGCACTAGTTGCCTGCTTCCATTTGCGTGGGACAAGTTAGCATGATAGAAAGATGATTTTATTTGTATGGCTTTCTCTTTTCAGAAAGTCTCTCTCTCGTTGTCGAAGAATTAACAGGATGCTTTCCAACGAGTCAGTACCTCCTGCCTTCAGTCGCTCCAATTCTCAGGCCTCCATGGACAGCACTTCCATGGAGGACTTCTGGTGTGAAGTAGCGAGCATCAAAGAGAGCAGAGAAGATGGATCTGAAGAAGCAATGCTCTTGGAGTTCAAACCTGCTGATGGTGAGCACATGAACACCACTTAGGCCTCATACCCTGGCTTTGCCTCCTCTCCTGAGGAGCCTTCCTTCTGTCACTCAGTCTGAGCAGAAGTTCTAGTCTGGATGTATGACCATTGTAGCTCCTCTTCTGAGCATCACAGTTAATCACTGTCAAGAAACAATAATTGTCTGGTTTATAGACTGGAGCCAGTAATTAACTTCTGAAGTAAGTTTTGTTGCATTGATTTTAGTTGTGCTTGAGGAGGACAGATACAGTGTAATTCAGAAAATAAAGGCACTCAATGAAAACTAAATTTTCAGCATTACATAGATTAAACCAAAACATCTAAAGTAGTAAAATGTTAATTTAGTATGCTATAATTTTAAACTTTCTGGCTTTTGATAGGTAATGATTCAGAAATTATTAAAGTCTTGAAGTAGTTTTTGGTTAGATGTAGTATTCTTCTATCAGGAATTTAATACCTGCCTGTTTTGCTGAGATTGCCCAATTAACTTATCATCAAGGAGAGGTTAGAGATAAGTCTGAATGCAGGCATGCCTGTATATCAGGCTCCCCACTAGACCACATTCATGCATCACTTATACAATGTATCCTGAAGGTATTTCTGCCTTTCTGTTACCTTAATGTTTTCCCCTCTCGTTAGGTACTGTATTTGGAAAAACAAGCAGTATGTGCTAGCTTGTTGCAATGTAGCTTTGTGTTAGATGATTTGATAACATCTAGAACAGTGGTTCTCTTTTTTTTTTTTTTAATTAGGACCCTCATTACAAATGCATTATATTGTGTAACACAAAATACCAGGTGTTACTATACAATGAAACCAAATTTCTTCTGAAGTTGTGACCTCCTGAAAACTGCTGCTACCCTTCTATGGCTCCTGGCCACTGGTCTGGTAACTGCTGATGTAGGGATAGATTTTGAAACGATGGCATGTTCTTTCCATACAATTATTAACACAAGTGATGATGTATTTTTCCTACTTTGACGTACAATGGGATGCCATTAATTCTGCTACCAGGAAGAATGGTGCAAAGTACTACTTTTTATTAAGCAATCAAATATGCAACCAGTCATGGTAAGTAACCCACACAGAGGTATCTAGCTCCAACCGTGTACTGTTTCCATGGGAAACACCTCTCATTCATTAGTTTCCATCTGGGCTCCCCTGGAAGCAAAGGGAGAAGATCACCAGAAATCTTGGTCTGCTGTGAGGGTTATGATCAGTCAGCCTAAATCCACTGTTCTGAATTTCGCTGTTCCTTATTGGGAAAACTCCTGTCTGGTCATACTCTTTAGCTTGGAGACTCCATAAAGAGATTGTGAGCCTCGTGGTGGCTCCTCCATGCAATTGTCACCACAAACTAACACGTGTCCCTGACTTGTCTGCACTGTCAGGGAGATGATATAAATCTGTGGGCTGCCAAGCTGGATAACTTATTAGGACAAGGCAATACAGGAGCTTATTTTCCAGAAATGTTTCCATCAGTTTCATCACTGCTGAACTAAATCTTCTCAACAGCCCAAACTCTGCTGCAGTCCCATGTTACCCTTTGTCTGAGTACACCTCATTACATCACATTGATTTTTCCCCTCTGCTGTGAATTAAAAATGAGACTGCAAGTCAAAATGCAATACATCTCCACACTACATTTACCTTCATATTGTTGTCTTAAACACATATATATGTATTGCATATACCCACACACAATCAGGCAGTTTGTCCTAGTTATTAACATCAGGAATATATTCAGTCTGGGATTATAAATCTTGGAAATAATAGTGAGTTCTGTTAAGGCCCTAATAGGATAATACTCCTTGCCAATAATCAAAACACTAAAAATCAATGCGGAAACCCTCAGGGCAAAATAAAATCAAATATTCATCACCCTTTTGAGATGTCTTTGAGAGGAGGAGATGAAGATCCTTAAGAAGGAGGCCAAAGGGTGATAGAAGCCAGGCAGGCATGACTGTCAAAACCTCAATGTGATTTGCCAGACATCATGTGCAAAGGGCAGAATTCTGTTGATGTTAGCAAATACAGTCAAAAAAGAACAGAAGATCATGACAAGTGATACAAGGAATGAAAATGTAAGGAAGGAGAAAGTCATGGTGTATTTAAGATGTCCATGCCATGCAGAATTGCTTTACAATTTTTGTTGCAAGTCTTGAATGCTATAAATTATTTAAGGTTATTTCTCTGGGCTATTTCAGGTTATATCTGAGATTCAAAACAGGACATGCCTCTTTCCTAGCAAACTCTATGAGAAAAAGAGAATTACCTTTTCCATTTTCTGTCTTCTAGTGGAGCAGAATCAAACACAGTATCAAGACTATGCTGTATTAGTAGCTAACACTATAAAAATAATGCTTTCTTAAACAACATGGGGGGTGGGGGATTTACCGTAATTTAAGGTCATAAATGTGTCATAAAATTTTGAGCCTTTTTTAATGCATAAGTTTTTTCTCTTTAATATTTTTTCTCCTCTGATTACTGTTGTTATGTGTTAGTCTATTGTTTGTGTGTGGCTGGAACAGGAAAAGGGAAAAGTCAGAGAAAACAAGTCACAGGGTGACTAGTAAGTAGGCAGAATTTAATGTCTGCCCTGCTATTTTTCATAGCAAGTTTGATTACAAGCTCAGTTCTTGGAAAGAATATGTCGGGACAAAAGCAAAAATTAATGTAATTTAAAAGCTGAAACATGGGCAGATGTGGCTCCAACAGCGGTACATAAGAAAGAGAAGAGACCTTCTTAGAAAGAAGAGTGAAAATGGCAGAAGAACCACTGATTCAAAGCTTACAGAGAAGGAAAAGGAACAGTCTCCATCCTGTCTGTGTATACAGAAAGAATAAGAGCAGAGACAAGCTTTTTTGTGGGATACAGAGCTGGTCATACCCCTGGCTAACACAGAGCAGGGGGATTAGAAGCAGCTATTTTTGTAGTGCTTTGTAAAGAGGCAGGGCAGTTAACAATGAAGTCAGTGATGGCACATATATAAGATGGTTTTACTTGTCCCTACAGCCAAGTCCTGTAATTTTCTCTTTTGTGTATGTAACTGCCAAAGTGCAGCAAACTGGTGTCCATCAATCAGCCTGCATTCTGATGTCAAGAAGAGGCAATAAAGGGAGAGTGGAAATACCAACCTGCCATTAAGACTGGTGCTGGGACAAGAACAAAAAGTGCATTGATTAGTTGTTTTATAGAACATGCTGCAAATTAATCCATTTCCTGTTTGACATGTTTATTTGTAGTACTTCTTCTTCAGTCAGGGCTGGAATGAAATTACTGTTTTGTGTCAAGCCGCTTACTGCTGAGCTAGGATTGCTCTACAAAACTGAAATGAAGGTCCTCAAAATCTCCTATGTGAAGAGGAACTTTAAAAGACTATGACTATTTATTTTAAAAAGAACACAAATCAAAAAGCAGTGACAGCAAAATTTAAAATTACTGAATGATTCAGAGAAGGTAGATTGGGACCTTTTCACAGACAGATAATTACAAGGCACATTCAATTCAGGTAACAGGTAGCAAGCTGAAAACCTATATTGTCTTCACATGGGCAGGTTTTGATAGTGAGGGGACTGCAGGCGTGGCTCAGTGAAAAGATGCCAGAAGCATCTGCCATGTCCAGTAGAGCCAGGATAGAAAACAATTCTTCCCACAATGCATACCCTCACTATGGAACAAATTGCAGTATTGAACCAGTTGGGAAGCAGGTATTCAACAGATTAAAGAAGGTATTAGTCACTAATTGAGATCCCAAAAAACACTGGGGTATACAGTGCTAGCGAGTCTTTAAGAATTAGAAGTTAGGGTGATACCTAGCATGCCAGGATGGCTGTTTCTGCACCTTCCTCCCTTACCTGACCTCTGAGACACCTACCCCTTCCTGACCCTTGTTCTTTAGAGAGCATCTCTGGTTCTTAATCATCTCGTTCAAAGCAAGCAATTAGACTAGGTGGACATCAACCTTCTCTCAGTGTGGCTTCTTCACTAGCTACCACCAACCCTCTGGAATATGAAATTGCATCAATAGTGTGAAAATACATTATTCTGTTCTATACACACCTCCAGTATTTCTGTTTATTTGAATTGGAATACTGATTTTATTTCCATTAGCCAAATGGCTTTCTCCAGTACACCATGCTACAAATAGTGAACGTGGCATAAATGGGAATTGAGGGGATTTATGCTTTGGAATTAGGGGTTAATTTTTAGGGACCTTGCTTTGTCAGGTTGGTTACTCTGCTGCCTTCTTCACACATATATGTTGATGAAATGCCTCTGCTGTTTTCCACACTGACAAACTGAAAGTTTGTCAAAGACAGTACATTTACAAAACTAACTTAACTTGCACTTGTGGCCTAAGAAAGGTTGGAATTAGAGTATTCTCAAGGTAAAGGCTGTGGTTGCAGTCCTCTTTTCCTTTAGCCCTTTCTCCCTTCCTTGCCAGGCTTATTAACATTGCTGTCTTCCTCCACAGAAGGGGAACTGGAGGCAGAATGGCTGCAAGATGTAGGTTTATCCACGTTGATCTCAGGAGCTGAAGAGGAGGATGGCCAAGCCCTGCTGTCCACTCTGACCAGAACTCAAGCTGCTGCTGTACAGAAGAGGTACAACACCTACACTCAGACCCTGAGGAAGAAGAACAAGCACACAGTCCGGGATGTGAGAGATATCTTTGGCACCAGTGACTCTTCTGTAAGTGTCCCCATGCATGCCTTTGATCTTAATTTTTATGCAATTTGCAAGTAGCTCACAAAGTTTCCTCCAGATAGGAACCCTTCCTTGCTGACAATGCACAGACAGTCATTAGCAGTTTCTGACTCTAAGACCAGACTTTAATGCTGTATATGGTACATCTGAGAGGAAAGGAAGAAACCAAATCCAATGGTTTTTGTAACTAACCTGTAACATAAAGTTGTATCTGTTGCCAGCCTTCCTCCTGAAACCTCGTGTCAAGACTAACATTTACTCCTTTATTTTTTGGAAATTGGTGAGTTACTCTTGGCAGCTATTCAAATTTTGGATGGCTTCTGGGGACACTTGCTATTTACTCGGCAGTCTCAGTGGCGAAGTAAAACTTGTCTAATGAAGCAACTGGGGTTCACACACGCATAAGCAATTAAACACCTGCCAGCACGATTGTAACTTGTACACTGGCAGTTACATTTCACTTACATAGCAAACAAAAACCTATTAACTGTTCATTTGCTTCACGGCTTCGGAAATCAGCAGCGCCTCTGGAGGTTTCATCCACTTTGCCCTGAGGATAGCTCTGCATGCACCAGTTCCTGTCAGTACATGTTTTGATTCTGGTGAACGCAGTCAACTGTGTGAGTTTAGTCCACTGCTCAAAGCAACACGGGATTTTACGTTTATTACTCATGATATCTTAAATGGGAGTCACCAGTAAGATCACAAGCTCACCTTTGAAATAAATATTAAAATTGTTGCCATTATAAAACTCCAATAAACTATTTTTCATTATGGCATTGCTTTGTCCTTTCCTGTTTGTTCTACCATCTTCTCAAGGCTTGATATCCTGGATTATTTACCAAAAAAAATTGGAACAAAATTGTAGGTTCATAGTTATATTAAAATTACAAAGATATAATGTCCAGATATTTAACTTATTTGTTTCCAAATTACATGTCTGGATTCTTTCAAACCTCTTGCACATAACCCACAAATACATTCAGAAGCATCCAATAGTTTCCTGTGGGCAGACTTTCTTTCATGAGAGATATCAGGCACATTTGCATGAACATTAAAAATCTGGTGGTACTTCTAGCTAGATTAGCTCACTTCTCCCGATTCAAGTATCTGTAAACCATAAGGTGTTTAAATTTTTTTTACAGGAGCTTGAGTTTCCTAATAAATTTCAATTATCCAAATAAGCATTGTACATTTCCTCTCAGATGGGCACATTATTGATTTATTTTTGACCTGCTTATTTTCCCCTTCTTACTTGAAAAATGTTTCTCACTTGCAAAAGAAATTTGGATGTTTAGAGCAACTGCCCTTCAAATCAGCATTTTACCTCCTCCAAAATACTAGTTCTGCATTGTGAAAGCCTAAAAGATAAGATCAAATAAGTAATTAAGTCTTCTAATTCTTCTTCCCACAAAAATATGCAGTTCTGCAGGTGCTGACCTAGATGCTAAACCCAGATGCCCAAACACAACTGCAGAGCACGGCATCACCTCTCCAACAGCCTGTGAAACATTGTATTTCTAAAAGCCTGCAAGGCCCCAACTCTCTAATTTTCCTATTCACCAGTGCTTCTATCTCTGCTGCTTGTTATGGGATTTAGAAACTTCGTCCTGATTATCAGCCCTTTAGGGATAAACACAATTCAGGAGGGCGTGTGTCCCTGACCTAAGGGTTTCCCAAGTAGTCTTTTTAATGGGGTATCAGCAGTCCCTGGAGCTTTGCTGCCTCTTTGGGCACGGCCCTACAGCTGCCAAAGAATCTTTGTGATTAATCAGTTTAGGGAAGAGAAGCACATTAAAAACAACAGCCAAAAGAAAAGAGTGGCAGGAGATGGGGACGGACAGATCTTTTCAGCACAGCTGGGGAAGAGAGGCTGGTGAGGAGACTGAAATGACATGCAGTTTTGTTTTCCCATCCTACCTTTTAGCTGGGAAGGGCAGAAGTAAACTGAACATGCTGCAAATAGCAAACCAGCTCTAATTATTTCACTTAACTCTATAATCCTCCCCATTAGGAGAATGGATTTATACCTCTTCCAGCAAGCAAGAATCACAAGAGCCCAGAGGGATGGGTCACAGGATGGATTATTCTCTTCCTTGGCTAATGATGAGATAAAAGGTGATTAGCTTACTAGGGTCACCTGAGATGAGATCAAGGGGACCACTAAACAGGCATAAATTAGTTGTCATCTGGAGTGGGGGAAGAAAAGGGTAGATTTGCCCTAGGTTTTTTATCCCTGTTCTGAAAAAACCCTGGCTACTAGATGTTTTGCTGCTAGTGCCTAGTGGCCAGGCTCTGCATGGGTCAGCATAGAACAAAGGGTGCTTTTCCATCCATCCTGCCTTGAGGTCCATGCCTTCATGGTAGGAGTGTCCCCTCAACAGACAAAATGGACTGAAATAAAGGAAATTCTTGTTTGGTAGCTTTGGGGTTTTTTTGGGTCTTCTTCTTGTTGCCTGTCCTGGAAAGGAGCAGTGATTCTTAGGGACAAAATGCTACCCCTGTGGTACAAAAAATGCTTGTGGTTATAAAAGTCAAGCTTGGCAAGTAGAGCAGCCTGACCCAGTTGAGGTGCTTTTGCTCTGCTTCAGACAGGTCCACAGCCAGCAGACTTGACTGAGAGCCATACTACTGAGTTTTAAATTGGAGGATTTATTAGGCAGAGTGACCTGATTTTTCTTACTACTGGTACCCTGCTGCTTCCATCAGAAGCTGTTGGCTCTGCTGGTGCTCAGAGCTTAGAAGTATCAATGTCAGAATACAAATGGGAGACAAACATACATTCATTGATTCTGTTATTGTGGAGAGGAGATGAAGCACTGTGTTCATTAACGGCCCAACCCTGTACGTTGCAATTGCTAAAACTCCTTAAGACTTTTTACAAGCATTTTACTTCAGCAATGCTTGACAAAATCATGTCCTAGTTAAAGAAGAACCACTTACTAACCCAAAGCTATTTGCATGAAAAGGTGTTTGTGATGGCAGTGCTAGGAAATATGAATATATTCAAAGCATGGGCAAATTGTATCCTGGACAGATATAATGTTATCCTCCTTCGCTTCTATTTCCTTTAACTGCAGGGCTGAAAATAAAATTTGGTCTCTTTGGTGCTCCAATGATTTGGTTTTACATCTTCTGCAATGAGGGTAGCTACTAAAAAAGTGTCTATCTGCTTCATCTCCTTGCTCTTCTGATTTCATCTTCCCTTTGGAAATTCCTGTGTATGTTGTGGCAGCAAACAGTGGGCTCATTTTTAGTGTGTCTCATGAATCACTTTCAGTCAGAAATCAGGATATGGGAAGCCTCACCTTTTCTGGAGCCCTAGGCAAATGAATAAAGCTGTCACAGTTTATTTAAGGATACAATCTGACTCTTGGTCTTTCACATTCATTGAGAAAAGGTCTTCAAAAGTTCTTTAATTTTCTTTTACCCTACAGAAATAATGTGGATCTTTAAATTCATGTATTAAAAAGGTTTTATTCCCAGTCTTTCTAACATTAAAAAAAGTAAATGGATGGCAGGGAGGGGAGGAAGGAAGACATTTTCACAAAAGACACAGATTTGGTTTCATTATAGACTTTCACTATGGAGGCTGGGAAATGGGACTGAGAATATGACATCTTCAGGTACCCCAGTTATTGTGCACAGTTCACATTACTCAGGTCCCCAGGTTAGAGCCGCCTGCTGCCAGCCCTGCTGGGCGCCAGGCAGAGGTGTGCAGTCCACTCCATCTTCCATATCTGTGTCTGCCTGCTCTGCCCTGCTTATCAGAACCAGGTTACTGCAGGTCCTTCACGACTCATTTCACTCATGTAACAAGGCTGGAAGTGCATTTTTTCTTAATAAACTTGACTGACTGTAAATCTATTCTGAATATTGTTCACAGGGTCAGACATTTTAAGCACTGAAAGGGGATGAGCCAGTTGCTAGTTTACCATTAATTTCTCCATCTGCATCTCAAGCAGAAGCATAACTACTTTTATGGTTGACTTTCCCAAATTACTGAGAGAAGTTTAGCCATCCTCTCCACTTCTGTATTCCCAGCTTAAATTTATAGTGCTTTTTTGAAGCTTTATGTGTTAATGTTGTGGGATTTTATCATAAAGGTATCCAGTTCTCTTTTTTAAAAAACATATGGTCCTTACAGTCTTCTGGCAAAGGAAGCCCATGTGACTCAGATCGTGTTTGCTATCAAGTTCACAAGCCATTGAATGGACTTTCTCAGGAGAGATTTTATTCATGTTACATTTGACTTTGTTACCCGAATAGCTCAGAGGATAAGATTGGATAAAACAACTGAAACGTTGTTTCAGGCTTCCAATTGGAAGAGCTGCCTGTCTTTTAAATATCTGATATTTTTTGACAGCCAAAACACTTCTCCTACACATTGACTACAACTGGGGGAAACAGAATTTTTTCCCTGAGGCATTGCTACTTGTTGATAAGCAGCTGATTTAGCAATTTGAAGAGCAATTAAAAGAGCTGGTATTAAGGGCTCATGGGAGCAGGTTCAGCTGGAAAACTGGGTCTATTCCATCAGGCTCAGGGTGTGTGTGAGACAGCAGGTTTGGGAAAGGCTGAGGGTTTCAGGGCCTCCCATAAGGATGCAAATAACAGCAGAAAAAATGTCCCAGGTTTGGAACATTGTAGTTACTTTCATTAGTAACCTTCAGAGCAATTTTGTAATTCCTGACCTTGTTTTTGTTTGGATATTTTTTTACTCAAGAACAAATAGTTGAGCTGGCTGCTATTTCCCATGGAACACAAACACTCAGATTTGTCTTTATGAGCCACAAAACTGCTGAGGACAAGGCAAAACACCATTGCCAAGAAGAGGTGACACTGCTTGAAAGTCACCCCTTGGGTTGCCAAGCACAATAATTGGGGTACCTGAAAATATCATGATCTCAGTCTCATTTCCCAGCCTCCAGAGTGAGAGTCTATAATGAAACTTCTCTGCAATGCAGAATGGTTTCTGGAGTGGAAAGAAATGGATTTGAATATAGAAAATGTTTATTTGTTCCTTCAAGCTGTTTGTTGCAATTCACTGATAAAAGTATTAGTGTATAACCTATGGGAGGACATCCATCCTTTAAAAGCTTTCAGGTGCCCAAATCATAAGAGGTAGCAGACTGACTGATTTCTGATGGGTCCCTGGGAATAGCAGGTATTCAACCTGTGCCAGAGAGTCTTCAAAAAGATTTGTGGCCAAAATAATTAAAGCCAGGATGAATTACAATTTGAGGAGGACCTTTCAGTTAGCCTAATTCTATACAGCAATTTACTTAGCTAATTTCAGTCATTTTATAAGACAGGACTCATTAGGTACAGCAAGCTGCAGTATTACTGACCTCCACATGGTCCAAATCTGTGCAGTCTGGGGAAGACTGATTCTCAGGCTTGGCTATAAAAAATATACTCTGACTAATCACAACATGTTGTTTAATCTTGTCAAGAGAGTGTAAGCTGAGAATGATACACCTTTTCTTGAACTGTTGCAGTTTCTGTCCATAGACGTTTGCCTTCACTGCAGTCTGATCATTTTTCCTTTTCTTTCAGCCCACATTTGATACAGTTCCAGTGTCACCAGTATCTTCTAATGGCATCCAGCTCCCTGGGCAGAAGCCAGTTTGGAAATCAGTTAGCTGTGAGTATGAAAACATGTAACCAGTGTTCACTTCCTCTTAGGAAAATGACAGAGAGAAAGAACCTGTTCTGGTTCAGAGGTTAGTCCCCTCTTTCATGTTGGGGCAGTACTGCATATATTTCTTTAAAATCATTGTCACCTTATTGTCATTCAGGAACCAAATTTTCCCATTAAAGACCAACGTTATACAGACACAGACTGCTGCCCTTGAGGCATCACCATCTAAAAAATGCTGATCATTGCAAGGCTGGGAATGTAAAAATAATCTATGAGCAATATCATGTAGAATTTGTCCAAAATATGTCATCAGTGTATTTTCTTGCTGGAAATCAGAGAGGCATATTTCCTCCACATTTCTTCTCCAGTACTGCAGAAGTTGTAGTATTAGAAATTTATGTTTTCCTAGTTCTGCCCTGTTATTTTGATCTATGAATGGTGTTATCCCTTAAATTCTTTGCCCTGACAGTGATTGGCAGTGCTAATGAAAGTAATAGTTCTCCTCTACTCAGTGTCTGGATAATTGTCAGCAACCTTCCACGAGAATGTTCATCTCTTAGTTTGAAAGCTCTTCCTGTCACCATTGTTCAGGGCTTAACTAAAGGGATATTAATACCCAAATTTCTAAACTAATCCCTTGGATGTTTACCTCTGGATACAGTGCCACAGACATTTTCCTTGGTGGCAAAAGCTGCTCTGCTGATACTTCTGCTCTGCAAGCAGTTTTACTGGAACAGATGCGGAACCTAATGTCATGGGGTACTGTGAGCAGTCTGTGGTTCCAGGTCCAGGGGTGGAAAGAGAGATGGAAAACATCTTAAATGGCTTGGACATAAGACAACAACTAAAGCCACAGTTCAGAAACCAGAAGCCACTTAATAACAAACTTAACTTTTTTCATGTCAGACTTGTAAAATATGTGGTGTTGCAAAAAAGTCCCTGTAAACGCAGTGATTCAGAAAACATGGGGCATGCACAAGTTTATAAGACATGTAACATTTTTTAATGCACTTTCTGATTGCCATAGCTTTTGAATACACTTGTGTCATGTTAGTAAATTCTTCTCTGTAGTCCTGGGGGCTGAAACTTTACTTTCAATTAGATTCATGATTCCATCACAAATGGATTTAGGAGCTCAACCTTAGAGGAAAACTAAAAATTGACCTGAGATACTAGAGATCTGTCTAGAAAGTTGGCAACCCTGTAACTCATTTATGTTTTCACACTTTGGCTTTCATGACAATAGCATATTTCTGGACTTGATTGTATTGATTTCAAAAATTTTCCTCTGACATCCAGTAATTTAAGGAGGTGGCTAAATTTTAGAGAAGAGCAATAAGTAATTTCACAATATCTACTATAAATGCCAGTAGATATAGTGCTTTTCAAGATAGAATATTGTATGTTTTGTCCTGTTATGGTACTATACACCTAAACTATCAACAGTGAGAAATATGTGTATATGACTACATAAAATATGTACACAATGTCTTGTGATTGTAAATAAGTCATCAGTAACCTGAGAAACTATGTCAAGAGCATTTTTCTGTCAAGATCTTTTATTTGTAATTGTTCATTTGACAAGTGACACCACAGTTTGCTGGCCTGAGAAGACAAGGATGTAGTAAGAAAACTTGGTAATTCCTGATAAACAGGAAGTTCCAGCTTGACTATATTTCTCATAGAAAGCAACAAGTTAAATAATCTAAAATGAAAGTAAGGATTTTATTTCTAAGGGCTTATTTTCTCAAGACAAAACAGGAACATGCTGTGGTTTGCACTGAAATTCCTCTTTGAAGCACTTCCTTTATTCCTTTCTCAAGAATTTTTACTTCTCGGCTCAATTTTTTAATGTCTCTGTACTAAATGTAATTCATTATTCATATATAATTTCCCTTATTTTCAGCTAAGAGCTGTCTAGACTGTGGAACAGATAAGAGCAGCCCATCCATAACAGAAGAGCTCTCCTATGATGTCTCTTTCTCAGAATCCATTACAGTCCTTCCAAAAACCCAAGAGTGGCCAAAAAACCAGAGGTTCAAAAAGGAAGACTCAGCTTTGCCAGTAAGTTTCTTCTCCATATATTTCCTTTATTGTTTTCTTTAACACAGCAATTTCCTGTTTTATATCCCCAGTACAATGGAGTCTGTTAAGATACATCTGACCTTTGTAGTGTGTGTTTTGTAGAGGCTTCTCGATGTGCCTGCCTACTGCCTGTGACTGATTCCCGAAGTTAATGTGGATATCCAAGCCAGGTTTTTACTTGTACCCATCATAAACATGTGCACCCAGATGAGTATGTGTAACTCAGTCCACAAATATTGCATCATCCACAATTTTTTCACACAGAAATAACAACTACTTATTGGCATTAAAGCTAACAATCATTTTCATTACCGGTCTGCTTTCCTACTTTTCCCCCCACGGATTATCTGCCTTTGTTAACATATGGATTTAAAATTGCTTTGCAGATGAAAGGAGGAAAGCAAACCTTATTCCTGCAGCAGTACTGGCTGTTTCCAGTCATTATTGAGTGCAAATCACACTGTAGGAGATACTACATTAATTCTTCAAGAAAAGTTTGCCATATAATCCAACCAAGCCTTCACTGAGCAGTTGTGTCATTATCTGGAATTATTTCATGAAGTCATGGAAGTAAAATTTTCTACTCACATGAGCCCTCACAACTTCCATCACTGAAAACTGGAGCATTAATTTAGTACTTCCAATACCACCTCTTCAGTGACGTGTATGAAGTAGCTGTAAAGTATTTGGGAAAATTTACTGAATGTTTTGGTGTCCTGAGGTCCCAAACTAATCTGAAATTGTTAAAATCCACACAGACATTGAATTATCTGAGAATTAGGCAGTTGTCCATCTCAGATTCCACCAAGGAAAAAGCTGAGATGCAGAAGTAAGCTTCTATGTTGAATGATAAGACACCAAGTAGATTACATAATTTATGTGAAATCCCTGTGCTTTTTCTTTTTCTATCTTTCTTTTTTTGGGGTTTTTTTTGTTGTTTTTTTTTTGTGGGGGTAACTTGGTGTCTTGTGGCAGCTAAGGAAGGGCATCTCTACACTCATCATGATTTTGGTCTTTACTACAACACATGCACACTCACAAATTGTTCTCTGCAAAAGCACAGACAACTCCCAGCTGACAGAGCAGGGAAACTGATGAAAAAGAGGGAAGAGAAGATGCCATATTGAATATCATGGATCTGTGGATTCATAATTGATAAGCCTTAGAAAACACCAGTATTGTGCTGGAGTTGAACTGCTCTGCATTCAGGACATAATTTTATGAGCTCAGAAGACTACACAAGAAACATGCCAGGTCATTGCAGAGTGTTTCTGAATAAAGGTCATCATAGCTGTTGATGTTGGCCTTTCCCTTGTTTCATCTGCTGCTGCTCATGGTGTTTGGTTTTTTCCCATGATGACTCAGACCGTAATGGGCGTCAGCAGAAAAATCACCTCTCACTCTGTTACACTGAGCAACCAGTCACCTACACTCAGAAGGACAATGGGATAATGGGGCTGACCTGGAGGCTGTGCAACATCACACTTTCTCCAGGGCAGGCCTAACAGCGTAGCCAACTTCACTGATGGTGTGTACAGAGCTGCACAGATATTATATATCATAAAATAGCATGTCCTCCGCAGCAGGGAGTCCTCTGACTTCTACAAGAGTCAACTCAACATCCCCAGGAGCACAGGGATTTCCCCAAAGTACATGTGATTTCTCCAATGTGGGACCATGGTCCATGTGACTTAGTTGAAGATGGCGCAGAACTACAAGTCTGAGTACACTGCACAGTTCCACATAGAAACAACATCGCAAAATATCAGACATGATCTTTAGCCAAAACATTAGTAATCCAGTTTCAGGATAGCCCAACCTCCTTCAAACCTGCATATTACACCACTGTAAGAAAAAACACTGGAAAATGGTGACACAACAGAGAAAGAGAGCCAGACCCAAAGTTTGTATTAACCACAGCATCACGTCATAGTGACCCCTAGGAGTCAAACAGCCACTGTGGAAAATCTTTGTAGCACCCTTTTTAATCAGTTTTGCAGTGCTTAGATTTTTTTCTCTTTTACCCCAGAAAATATATGTATACAGTCTGGATTTTTTTCCTTTTTTCCAAGGTGAAAATGTTTGCACTTTTTGCATCACTGGAACCAAAATGTGTGGATATTCTTTAGTATTTTATGTTTCTTCAGAAGGCTAACTTCCATGCAGCTTTTGTCACATTAAGTCTCAGAAAAAAGGCTAACAGTGGAATCGCTGCATTCTAAGGAGGGAATATTCTGGGCTAAAAATGCCCCAGGCAGCAAGTAAAAAAGCTATTCCATTCCCTACACTCTTTCTCTCCTAATTATTGTTTACCCCTATTGAAAGACCATATGCAGTGTGGTCCTAAACTACATGATCTGGATGTCCTTTGTACTCTCTTCCTGTTGAAATGTGATGTAAGTTTAATTTCTGTTTTGATTTGGTTTAGGGTTTGGGTTTTTTTGTTTGTTTGTTTGTTTGTTTTGGGGTTTTTTGTTTACCTATTTCTTAATCAGTTTGACTGGCTTAATTTAAAGATGGGTTAAACCTTTTGAGTCCAAATTTGTTTAAAAAAATTAAGGACTGGTCTGAAATCTCCAGAAGGAAAACATTACTAGAGGCTGGGTTTCCACTCAGGTCCCTAAAGGATGGAGATAATTTTGTAATACTATTTATTTATGCCTCTGACTAACAATGCTTGGTTTAAATTTTTAAATAAGTATCAAAGAATCACAGTTCTTTGAAAAGCATAGTTCTTACCATGTTTTTTACTATGACTTTGTTATTATGTCTAACAATTATCTCAGAAACTGATGGGTGTTTGTTCTTTTTGACATTTGTACAAATGCATCGGTTATGACACAACATTCCTGGCTCTGGTCCCTGACACTGCAGTTTCTAAAATATGTAGACATCTTCACATGCCCCCAGATTACTCTGTATCATTTAGTTTAAGTCCACTTGAATAAATTATTTGTTAGCTGCTGAGAGTCCTGTTTCTAAGCTTTCTTGAATAATAAAAGATACCACTAAGTTGGCAGGTTTGCTTCTGAACTAAACAATTTTGCTTCTGGGCTTTTCCTCAGATCTTTAGTTTGAACTCCCCTGTAAGACCTCATAAGTTAATAGCATTATGCAAGACAGGCATGGATTCATTACACACACACAATTTATACAGAACCATATCCATCATTAACTGTGTCAGCCACTTCAACAGCATTCAAAGATGTTTTGGGGAAGGCAGAAGCAGAGCAAAATACTACATTCTGCAGAAGCTGGGCAAAACTTCTAAAGAAGCACGTAACTCATTTGTCCCGCTGAAGTGCAGGCACTGAGGTGCTCCAGCACCACTTCCCAGTCAACCTGCAAGGGTGCATGGTGAGCAAGAAGCTCAGTTTTAGGGATGTAGTTCATCTCTTTATTGTGATCCATCCACCTGAACACGACCTCCAAGCGCATCTGCGCATCTCCTTTAAAACAAAAATGCACTTCCTGTAACTTTGGTGCAAATAAAGATGCGACCCATCTCTACTGTAGAAATTCATTGTTCGGAAAAGCCGTTTTGGACTGACAGAGGTCGGGGACCTCTCTCCCGAAGACATGAAGAAGATCCGCTACCTCTCCCTGATCGAGCTCACAGCCTTCTACGACGCACTGGGCGTGGAGCTGAAGAGGAACCGCCTGGAGAGGGTGCGGGGACGAGGTACCGTGTGTGACATCCCCTTTGCAGTCACCTTCATGTCCACCAGCTTTGAAAGAAGGTGCTTATGAGGCTGTGTTTCCTTGTTTTCACGTTTGTTGTTATTATTTTTAAGAGAATGGTCTTTTCGGAGTTCCTCTCACCGTACTGCTGGAGAATGATCAAAAGAAGGTTCCTGGAACAAAAGTGCCCCTTATCTTCCAAAAAGTGAGTATCACTTGGCCTTCGTGGTCACAGGATTTGCTTTTCCACCATTTGCATTGACACTCAAAGGAGTCATCAGATAAGAGAAATTTCTGACAGGCATTACAGACTGGCAGGTGTCTAGAGATTGTCTGACTGAAGATTATGGTTTGAAAACTTTGTGACAAGAAGAGAAAATCTACTCCTTTTTTGTTTTTTTATCTGTAGTAGGTACTCTTTTTGATTTTTGTACTTTTGTGATACCACACAGGAAACTTTGGGAAAAAAAATGTCTTTCTGTTTCCCTTTTTCATTAAAATAGAGAGCCAAGCAAAATTGTGTGTGCAGAAGTGGCAGAGATGAGTTGTCTCAGGAGTTTTAATTTCACATTAATTCTAGTCATAGGTATTACTTAGCTACTGTTTCCAGAATGGAAGCAGTATCTTCTGAGTGAGGTTTGTATGACAAGACAAGGGTATTTAAATGAGACATTTGGCCACACAGGGATATCCTGGGGATGTCTTGGAGGCAGGTACACAGACACGAGTATGTGTGTAATTGCACAGATTTACACAGACTCAAAATGGCAACAGATTTCCTTGTAAATACTGACAAAAGAAGAAGTGTTGGGGAGTGTCAGGGGAAAGACTGACACGACTTGAACATTTACATGACTTTGCAATTAGCTCCACTGCTGCCCTATCAAGATAACATTGAAAATTAGAAGAATCAAGGTTAGGGCAGAAAGCAGATCTGGTGGTGAAAATCCAGAGCTGTATGATTAAATGCTGGAAAATTTTTTTCCCCAATGTTCAAAATTACATAAAATCAAAGCATTTTTGTTTTGGTTTCTTTTTTTTTTTTTTAATGACCAATTGGAGTGGAAAGTTTAGTCCTCTATTCACAGATATTTCAAAATAAAATATCTTAGGATCATTTTCTAATCAGAGTTCTCAGTTCCAAAAAACCTATGTTATCTATAGACCTTTCCATTGTGTCCCTTGGGGTGCACTTAAACATTTCTCAGAGGTTATTTTTCCTTCAAAACACCATTGTGTTTAAGTATATCTGCTGTTTCATTAATATATTTATGTGTTAATTGTTCTATAGCTGTGCCAACTTTCAAGTCAAGGACAGAGGGGCCTATTGCATTAGCAGTTTTCTATACTCTACATACTCCTTACTTCAGGATCAGGACTATGGAAAGAAATTAGGCAGATTTATTTACATAAACTGGCTGCACTTCATTAGCTGACTCCATAGAAATGTATCTTTTTTCAGATTAGTTTCAAGGATACCTAGATTGAAAAGAAAGTCAGGAGTATTCTTAAGCACTTCTGAAAATTTTCCTGGGTTTTTTTTTTTTTGTCTCTCCTTTCAGCTGCTGCTCAAGCTTGAGGAAACAGGTTTGGAAACTGAAGGAATTCTGCGGGTTCCTGGATCTGCCTCCAGAGTCAAGGTATACACTCAAGACAGTTTTCCGTCTTCTGGACCACAGACTCTATGTAAAATAATACAGGATACACACAAATTCAGACTGCACACAAATACTGATCTGTGTAGCTCAGCATTCCTACTCCTGCCAGTGAAAGGTCAGATTAGTTCCTGGGAACCAGTAAATCACAGACCATTTGGTCTATTACTTTGATTTAGTTAATGTTCTATATAAAGCGCAGAGGATGTTGAATGTGATTTTTCTCCACAAAACTTTGAGACATCCTTTCACTTTATCTCTGTCATCCAAAATTGCTGTGGTCTTATCTCTGTTTTAATTTATTTGAGAAATGCAGAGTTCCTAAACCGAGTGAACATCAGATAAAGATCTTATTCTATGTAATTTTAACCTCTGTGTCAATTTATTTTTCATTTATCATCTGTGATCTCACAATTTCATGATCCAAGTGAGAGAAATTTGGCCTCTGTTCACTGCTGGCAGCCTGAAGTACTGCATTTTCACAGGCTATTTGTGGGCTATGAACACAGTATAATTGGCACCCAATAACCTGACACTGTGGGCCAGTAATATGTGCAATTGTTTCTCCAGACCAACTTCATTCCAGGAGCTGGAAGAGGCAAATTAGAAAAACAAGGCATTTTTTTGGTTGGTTGGGCTTTTTTTTCTGGGCTTATTAGGGTCTATCTCTTTCCCAGATTTTTGGGGGTATTTTCCTTATGCTTTTTTTTTTAAAATCTGATTTAAGCAACACCTTACAGTGCATCCTCCTCCCACTTTTTCATCCTCAGGGGAGCTAGTTTTGTGTTCTGAGGCACGAAGTGTCAACATTGTGGTGGCCAGACAAATGATGGGGATTGCTAAACAATTGGGTGGACTGAGGATCATAAAAAATGGCTGAATAAGAAAAAGCAGCATTACATGAAACACACTAAAGATAGGCAGCAGCATCCCAGCTCCTTCAACTCCATGTATTGATAAAAGTACTCAAAGCCTTGAAAAGTACCACATCTTGCAGAAGGGAGCTCCTAACTTGCCCTGTACTTATACAACTTCCTCATTTTTTCATATAAATGATTGAATCTTATTTTACACAATCTCAAATTTTTCCAGTCTTTCCATGGAGATTGCACAGCAGGGCTGTGCTCTAGTTCAATTATTTTCATATTCTTTGCATACACTGCACTGTGTCTTGTTCACTTCTTTTTCACAACCTTTATCCTGGGAGCTGCTATGAGATATGACTTCATATGCAACTCCTTTATACTAGGTGGTAAGTTAAACTGCCCATATAAGAGTTTTAAACTATTTGAGTTTTGGTTTCATTTGAGTCTGCCCAACAAACCAATGAGCAATAGAGAGATTTTTTTCAAAGCAGATCCAGATTTCATCCTTCAAAAGCCTTCATACATTATTATGACATTAGGACCTGAGGGCATTTCAACTTTATATCAGTCTTGTTTGGAAAAGAAAAGGCATATGGAAATGATTAAAGGTTTCTCTTCTATAAAACAAAGAGTAAAAGAAATGAATACAACTTTTCCTCTGTAACAAAAGCTCCAGTGAACCAAAACTGTATGATAGTCTAGTGAAGGATCAGTCATGTTAAAAAAAATTGCAGCACATATTTTAAAATTATTAGATGCATATATTGATACATGTATACAAGGCAGGAAGGCAGAGGAGGGAGGGAATTAAATGTATAAAATATATGCTTACCTGTTTTTGTGGCTTTTTCCCAGTTCTCAGCAGAAAAATGTGGAGTAGAATTCTGTCCTCTTGTGCTTTTGATGAGGTGAGGATTTCTGTTCCACATTTCCAGTCAGTTGCAGGAGAGAATTCAGTCTAGGTGTTTGTATTGATTATGTGCAAAGGATGTGACTACAGAGGAAGCTTAGATAGCCCAGATTAAAACCAGTAAAATGTACTAGTAAAAATGACACTGTAACATTTTATGAGAAATCCTGAACGACTTTCTACTTCCTTTTCTGCAACCATTTGGCTTCATTATTTGTGACTGTACTTGATATGTAATTTCCTTCCATTCATGTGAGATGTGGCAAGCAGAATTCATTTTTAAAAGCTTTTCTGCCTGAATGGACTGAACTTTTTGCATAATATTAAAGTACATCTGACAAAATCATGATCTGAAAGTGAATATTTGCTACAGATATATTTTGTCATAAATGGTCTCGTAAAAAGCAGCAACAAACTTCCTATGGATAAGGCAGTGTTTGGCCAGTAATAATTGTGAAAGCTGCATTATTTATGGACATCCTTATATTAAAATTATTTCCTTCAATCTTTATAACTCAACAATTTTTTGAGGACCTTGCATTTTTTGAATGGTAATCTGGGTTTGAAGCCAAATCCTGTTCCTACTAGGAACCTTGCTGAGTATTTCCTTTCACAAACGTGTTTTGAAGACTGGATAGTGACCCTCCAGAACTTAACTGACCTCTGTTATGGAGTAGGATGCTGCCTTTGGAGAACAAGGGGATTAAATGGGAACCCAAAATGGTATCATCATCAATTCTATCTTAAACCTCTCCTGTGTTTTTAGAGGTTTGGGGGAGGGTTTTATGCATTAAGGTTTTTTCTGACAGTAATGGATTTGAATATTTATTTTTCTACAATTTGACCAAATCTAACTATAATTATCCTAACATAAGTCTTCCTTTCAAAGATTGGAAGACCTGAATTTTAAGCCATTTGCGCAAGGCTCATGGATTCAGAGTACCTTGCAAGTTCACTGGCAGTGAAAAAGAAACACCACTCCTTTGTGACTTAAGGGTCAAAAACTCTGGAGAGTGTTTTAAACAAAAAGAACAGCTGTGCAAACGGAGTTTTCTGCTTGTAGTTCTAAGACATTGCACAAAATGTCTTGCTTTAAGGTGGTTCAAATTGTTCACTGGCAGAAATCTAGATATAGCAAACCAAATTTAGCCTGGGTTGCCAAATATCTGCAGGAACTTGACTTGTTAGCCTGCTCTGAGCTCCACATGGCTGTCACTAGGTTAGGGCTGCTTTAGTTCAAGTGCTGTAGTACAAACCAGTCTGCTGCTTGTAATGGGATTTCTGAAGTGATCACAAACTGCTGGATCAGCAGCAATGATTGAAGGCCAAATGTTTCTTTTATTTTTCAGAATCTCCATCAAGAACTTGAAGCAAAATTTTATGAAGACACCTTTGACTGGGACCAAGTACGAAATAACGATGCAGCAGGACTGCTAAAAATGTTTATAAGAGAACTCCCAAGCCCACTCTTCACAGTAGAATATCTGCCTGCATTCATCATGCTAGTAGAAAGTATGTGGAATTGGAGTTAGTATGGACTGATATGATAAAATGCAAGAGCAGACATTACATTTTTTTTCTCTTCTCTGAAGTATTTAGAGAAAAGTCATGTAATTTTTTCTCCGTCTGAAGTAGAGAGAAAAACAGACCTGGTGCTTTGCCTAAACATTTTAATTTTCTGTAAGATTTTGTTTTCAAAAGAGAAGGATGTCTGCATTCAGCTAATAGCACAGCTTTGTTATGTGAACAAAACAACTGTTTAATGTAAAATTTGGAACCTGTGTACTGGTGTACACAGTGACTGGGTAATGACTTTCATATATAGCCTTTGATTCACATTAACTGTAGGTTTTACAAATGAAAATTTCTGCAAGGTAAACTCAAATCCCTATCCTTAATCCACTAGACTTACTGGACCTATTTTATTTATGTTAAAGTTTATGTTGAGGTCAGATCATCGGTACAGAGATATGTGTGAGCACAGAAAGGTTCAGGCAGCTGGGCTTTGTTTTCAGTGTACATACACCTTCTCAATCTCAGCACATTTTGTTCATTTCTCCTCCAGGAAGAATGCAATTGTACCTTGCCATACCTATGACTTCACTGCAAAGTCACTTGAGCTAGGACAGACTGAAGGTCTCAGGATGGTGAATTTATTAGCAAATTGGTACAGAAAACTGACGATCTTTACACAAGCTTGCAGTCACGCTTTCAGTGTCTCCATGAGTAGCTTAAAGGGCAGAAGGAGGTGACCTCTCTCCATAAACTTCACATACCTGAGTGTGTGTGGACTGCTTTTGAGCTCCAGGCTGCATGCAGTTAAAATGGCTCAGCAGTTTGGAGAAGACTGAACAGGAGATGTCTGTGCAGAATAAAGTGACTTTATTCCCTACAACAAATACACAGATATCTAAGAGAAACTAGCTAGTACTAAAAAATACTGGATTGTATATTGATCCATGTAGTAATATGGATAGAATTTTATAGCACCTTGTGTCCCTGTGTGACAAAGATCCAAGATGATGAGGAAAAACCTACTCATTAAGGTGATTTTGAATTTGGGGAAAAGTGTATGGTTAATTAACACCTAAGCATGCTAGTCTCAACCAGGGACTAGTTGGTGTTTCTAGAACTGCTGACACACAGCATTTTTAGAACAAACCAATTCCAGTTGGGATTTCAAAAGCATTAATTATTCATGTCTTTAGAAATCTCCAAGATCAAGTTACAACTACAAGCTTTGCATTTGTTGATCATGCTGATGCCTGAAGCCAACAGAGACACAGCCAAGGTAAGTTCTTCATTTGCTATCACCTGCTTCACCTGCTGTCACCTGTGGTGCTTTTGACTTTTACATGAGAGACTCATTTTTTTCAGATGCTACACAGGGAAAGTATTCGTCTGTGTTTTTTGACGATTTCCCTCAAAAGATATTCAAATTTCCTGGCTGTCATTTCTTTTACAACCAATTAAGAAATAATTGGGAGTATCCAACTGCTGGATCTCAGGCATCATTGTTATGGAACACTCATTTAAAAGAGGCATATTCCTTGCTTAGTTTGAACAAAGGAGGTCCAGTTTCTGGAATTTTTGTATAACTGAAATTCTCCAGAATGAATTAGAAAGAGAAGCTGCCCTGTAGGAGTTTGCCTAGTACTCCTGGTACTGGAACGGTTTTCAGGGCACTGGACCAGGCTGCAGCACGCAGTCCAAAGTAAAAATATGCATCTGTAGCACAGATGTCAGGAGCTCACCCTCAGTTTGCCTTACAAATCCATGCCCACCCCCATGTGCCAATTCCTGATATGAACACAGTGGGTACAAGCATTTTGGATGTTTGGGAGCTCCCAGATCTGACTGCAGCTATGTCCTGACCATAAGAGACATTGGTTGCATCTTTGAGCCTGTTTCTACTTCAAGGAAACCTGAGTGAAGAGGCTTCCTGGGAACCTCCAGACATTTCATCAGGTCCCCTGTTCATCAAGATCATGCAAGTCTCCCATTTCTGAAAGCCTTTCATTAGTCAGTTAAGCCACAACCTTATCAGTTCAGGTCCCTTCTTTACCTGAATTTATTTATACAATAACAAGGGACAAGAACAAGAGCTGTTTTCAAAGCACCTGGAGGTCTACGAGTGCTCTGTAAAGAATGGGGGTTGTTTCTGCAACCAAAGTTCATTTGGATATAAAGCTGCATATGTAAAACACATGCTAGAGGAGTCTTAATTATTACTTTATTATTAATTAGGCTTCTGTACAAAAATAGAAGTGATGACAAAACTTTACACAGCTCCACTCTCTTGTCTATAATGAGATCTTAGAAACTTCTCCAATACAGGTTCTATTTTGTAATTCTTGGGTTTGTAAAAATGTTTTAATTGCTATGTCAGAGTACCAAGACAGTGTTTTTAGTGGTATGGTTTTCATGCTTTAACCAAGAGGCAGGTAATACCTGTAATGGTTGAACCCTAGCCAGAAACCAAGCATGTGCATTTTCTCACTCACTCCCCCATCAGTGGGATGAGGGAGAGAATAAGAAGTGTAAAAGCTGGAAAATTAATGAGTTGAGATAGATGTAATTTAAAAGGAAAACAAAGGCTGTTCATGAAAGCAGAGCAAACAAAGGAACTCACCATTTCCCATGGGCAGGCAGGTGTTCAGCCATCACCAGGGGAGCAGGGCTTGATTGCATGTAACAGTTACTTGGAAAGACAAATGCCATCACTCCAAAAATCCCCCCCTTCCTTCATCTTCTTCTGACTTTTTTACACTGAGCATGATGTCACATGGTCTGGAATATCCCTTTGGTTACCTGTCCTGGCTGTGTTTCCTCCTTATTTCTCATGCATCTCAGCACTGTGGCAGCACAAAAATCAGAGAAGGCCTTGGCTCTAAGCAAGTCCTAATCAGCAATAACAACAAAAAAAAAAATCTATATTATAAACACTGTTCAGCACAAGTCCCAAACATAACCCTATACCAGTCAGCATGAAGAAAACTAACTCTACTCCATCTGAAGCCAGCACACCACCACACAGTCATTCCTTCAGTCCTCCCCCTCCCAGTGGGATGGGTGAGAAAATTTGAAAAGAAAAATGAAATTCATGGGTTGACAACAGCAGTTTAATAGGACAGAAATGAATGGGAAAATAATAATGATTAATTAATTAGAGCACACAATTAGAGTGCACAATGCAATTTTTCACCACTCACTGACTGATGCCCAGCCAGTTCTTGAGTAGTGGGCCAAGACTAGTTTTCCCTACAGTTTAGATAGTGAGCACAATGCCATATAGTATGGAATATCCCTTGGGAGTCAGCTCTCCAGGCTATGTCCCCTCCCACGTCCTTGCCCCCTTGCTGGCAAGGCAGCATGAGAAGCTAAAGATTACACTTGACTAAGCGTAAACACTGCTTAGCAACAACTAAAACATCAGTGTGTTATCAACATTATTCTTATCCTAAATCCAAAACACAACCCTGTACCAGATATAAGGAAGAAAATTAACTCTATCCCAGCTGAAACCAGAACAATATTGCAGAAGGACTCAGTGGTAGAACCCAACTCTAGCCACAGCTGTAGTCTGTGCTATTTAATCATTCAAGCAAAATTCTGAATAAACTACCTAAAAGGGGAAATTAATTTCCTTTGACGCTGCCAAGCATGTGCAGAAGTAAGGTCAATGGACAATCACTTAGCTCTTCTTGCATTGTTATCCCAGAATAAAAGTTTGAAGGCTGTTGGCAGAAATTTCAGGTTGTATTACATGTGGAACTGGTGCATATTTGAAGAAAGACTAATCACCCCAAGTCACTGTGATATAAAAATCTCTGGCTAGATACATCAAAATGGACACTTGATAATACGTGAAGACAGTAACTATTCCCTTTGGGTACATCTTACCTCTACTATAGGATTCAAAGCCTTACTGTAGACACTGTATTTGCCTTATAAATTTGGGATTATGGTCTAAGTGATAATTTATTAATGTGTATTTTGATAACATTAACTATCCCTCTGTGGTTGACACAGTCTGTTGTAACAACAAATATCAGAGTAATCCAAATACAATGAAAAGACCACAAAATTTCATTTCCAAGTGCAAATATAGCAGCCAGACGTGCATTTGAAAATGCTGCATTTCAAAAGCAAATTATTTCCTGAAATTAAACAAGTCTTGCTTTTTTTCCAGGCCTTTCTTCAGTTCCTGAAGAAGGTGGTTGCTAATGAAGGGAAAAACAAGATGAATTTATGGAATGTGTCTATGATTGTTGCGCCAAACCTCTTCATCTACAAAGGGAAACGTGCAAACCAACAAGAAATGCAAGCAGCCGCCACCACTGCGCACATTGTGCGGCTTTTAATCCGGTACCAGGACATCCTGTGGACAGTGAGTAGTGCTGGTTCCCCCTTTATGGTTCCATTACAGTGCAGTACTTTGCCATATGTAGGACGTGTGCAGAAATCAGAATAAACGGACCTTCCAAGGAGAAACAGTTTCTTTGGAAACTGGCTGTAGTCTTCCATGTCTAGAATGAGGCACCCTGACAGATATTTCTGGATTGAGAGCTACCTTTCTTATCTAAGACACCTATTTTAGCATCAGTTGCCTTCTGGAAGTACCTCTCCCACACCATTGTTTAAACAGAGTGATGCATAGAAGAATTATTTAATCTGGATGTGTAGGTGATATGTCTGAACTTGAATGTGGTTAGATATCTGTTTAAAGTCTGCACCACAATAAAATGGGACAAAAGTGTGTACAACTTTCTGAGCTTCTGAAGGTTGGCCTGGAGATATTGACAGTCTCAGCTCATAACAGAGGGAGAGAATAAAGGGGGTTGCAAAGACTGCCTGCTGCAGCTGCAAACATTGCTTTAAAGTTTCTTATGGCATGAAAGATGATCTACAGTTTCACCAAAGGAATAACTGTAGGTTGTTAGAGGAAGTTACTGACTGCATGTATCTTCTAGGAATAAACAGAGTTTCTGCTGCCTAAATTTTGTGCCCTTCTAAAGACCCATTGGGGGTCTTTTCCCATTGGGGAAAAATTACTGTATATTCTCAGATATGGTTTCCTCTTTCTAGGTCCCATCCTTCCTGATTTCCCAAGTGAGAAAAATGAATGAGGCAGCAATGAACAACAGCAAGAGACAACTAATGTTTGACAAAGGAGTGAGAAAACTTTTGAGGAGAAAGACTATGGAACGGGAGAGACCTGAAAGACCAGAGGTATGATAAACAGATACAGGTTTTAAGGGCAGCTTTAAACAGCCTCTCTCCTTTATCTCATGAGAGATTCTGGGTGTGGGGAGGAAATTTTGCCATAAAACATAAGCTGATTTGAGAGTTATCTTGAAAGCTGTGCTTCTCAGTCTAATACTCTGATAAGACAAAATTTTGGGAATTGATTGAGAAAAGGTAAGGAAGGCAGAATGATTTACAGCGGCCAAAGCTGCCAAGCTGGTTTTTAACCTGTTTCATAAGAAATGGTTATATGTGGACTGTCCCTGACAGAGAGTCTTCCATGAATGTTTAAAAGAATGAAGACTGGTGAATTGTAGGAGAAGTAATCAAGGAAAGAGCAAAGGATTCTATAGGCATTGAAGAACAAAAGAAAAGACAAATTAGGAAGGAATGATATCACAAGTTTATGAGAAATAGAGAATGAGATGCCTAGTACAGACAAGAGAGAAAATGCAGAAGGTAATGTATGGGGGAAAATGTAGAAAGATAAATGTTATGTATGAATGGTGAATACATTCCAATTCACCTTTCTCAAGAATTTGCTGGCACTGACTGAAATATTTTATCTAGGGTAGGACATACATTGGTGCTGCAGATGGAGACAGAGGTGGTTTTTTTTAAATGGCAGTGTAGACTACTCTGCCGCAGAGTTAAATTCAGCCCAGGATGAACACATCCTTCTCTGAGGAGAGTCAATTACTGAAGTCATTGCACCTTTGGGAAGACAAGTCCATTGATCAGAGTAATTGGCTTTACATCTAATAAAAATGAGGGTAGCCATGGCAAGGAGCTGAAATATGAAGGGTAAATTGGAGGCAAACTTTGTTTGGATAACTGAGTTTAATGTTGAGAGCACTTAACGCAATCCCCAGGTCTCAGATGTTCTAAATTACACAGAGACAGAGACTGGAAAGACTATTGTGTTCTAGTCAGCATGGTATTAACTGGATTGGAACTGGAATGCAAACCTTGCTAATTGATTTATCCACCATTAATCATGGAAGAGTGCATAAACTTCATAGATGATCATTTGAACGCTACACAAGGTCAAATTTCAAATTAACAGAAACCATATGGTACTTGATGTTTTACTGTACACACACTTCAATCTAGTTGAAGATATAGGAAGCAGAAACAGAGAACTGGATTTTTATGCCTCAGGGGAATTTCATCTTCAGAAGGAAACACAGATATTCTTAATAATTTTTATGTTTTTAAATAAACAGTTGGTTCACTGCCAGTGTTAACAGAAATAAGTTAAAGTTACAATTCAAGGGCTTTACCCTGTGTGCATTATGTGCTACTTACCAAAGAGTTTGTGTCTTTGTGTTGTATCTGATTTATGTCTACAAATTTGCATTTGTATGACTGTAAATGTCTTTTGAATAGCCAAGAGAATGCAGGACAGTGAGTTTTGCAAGCAGCTTCAAATGGGGTTGCAGAACTGCTTCCAAACTGAGCTAGAGCAATATTTGCCTTTGACTTACTCTATTGAATATTGATTTTAAGGAGCTGTCACTTTCCCTCCATGCAGTCTGACATACCGGAGGGAGTGATAAGAGTTTATGCTCCACTGCATTCAAAAGTCTCTATGGCAATTCAACTCAACAGCCAAACAAAAGCCAAAGACATCTTGGCTCGATTCCACTGTGAAAACAGGTGGGTAAAGCAGAACATTTTGTTTTTCCTGAACAACAATGTCAGAACTATAAATCAATAGATTGTTCCCTCTTCAAAGATTCATTGTGTTACAAGAACTCTTTTTCTAATCTAAAATTGCTAATTTATGGTTATGTCAATCAAAGAAATTTTAACACTTATCTTACTCTTTTTATTTTACTTAATAATTGGCTCTATACAGAATCAACCTGCCCTCCCTTACACCACTAAAAATGTACATTAAACATATATTTTATAGACTTGCCACATAGATAACCCAAAGGGATTGTTTTACATCTACCCATAAGTGTAGAATGTTTTTATTTCTGTAGGGTAATAATTATTAATACTTATGGGAAATGGCAAATTGTGTCTGAAAGTCTTTTCTGCAAAGTCTTCCCATGTTACCACATAATTCTGTTCTTTGAATAAATAATATAAAAGAAATAATATAAAAGGTTTAGTTGATTGTAGTGCAGTACTGTACCTCTGTAACAGATTCATTATTCTGCAGTGGTCTATTTGGTAGAAGTTGTTGGTTTTGACAAGGCAATTTACAGGGGAAAAAATATCAAACTTGTTTACCATAGATGGTGGGTGATAAGCAGTGGTTATAACAGAAGGACAAACTGAAAGGTTTTTTTTTCCATCCTAGCCATGGATCATCACAGAACATGAGAGGCCATATCCAAAGTTTACATGAAATTGGAGGAAATATAGGTAGGTCTTAATTTTGAAAATTAATTCTGAATGTCCTTAACCTCCTAAATAACCTCAAGATAGTACTGTTTGGACACAGCTGGGTCTCTCCTACCCTCCAGTCCATTTGGAGGAAAGGAGCCTGACCCAAAAGCTGTTAGAATCAATGTCATTATTTATTCCAACTCCAGAGTAACAGGAGGGGCACCCCACAGGAGAGAATGAACCCAGCGGCTAGATCTCAGCAGCACTTCTTACAGTCTTGCCAAATTCATCTGACCTTTTGCTTACCTCTCTCACTCTCGTAACTGAGCATTTTTCCATGGTTAAGAGATCATTGGTCTTCCTCTAGCAAGCACATTCCACCTTGCTGTCGAGCATTTTTCCAAGACCTCTTTCTTTTTTACTGTATATAAATGTTAACTTCCCGCAGATAAAAAACCACAGACTTGTGAATTCAGCCTCTGCATGTATGGGTGCTCTATACTCACACTAATCTGTGTGCTTTATTTAGATTGCAAATTTCTTGCAACAGGGCTTTTGTCATCTTCTGTTTCATGCAGTGACACTTCTTATAATAACAACAACAGTGAGGGTTGCCCCATAAGTTTCTGGCCTAAAGGTCAAAAAACATATTTTAATTTGATGTTACACAATCCTTTCTCTTCTTACTCTCTCCTTTCCCTGTTCATGCCAAAATTCTGGATGCTCTGTTGAAGTCAGTTGTAAATCACCTGATAAGATTATTTCTTATTTCTTCTAGATTCAGTTCTAAAGACATTCTGCAAAGTTATTACAAAACATTACAGACTTACTTCAGCAGTAATCAGGAATCAGTCTTTATTACTGATGATAACAAAAAACTAAATTGGATTTGTGATTTGTTTTGCCTGTCCAAACAGGATGACCAGCTGATGCTAAAACAGAAAAATTGTCCTAAAGGCCTTGTGAAACAATCCCAAATATTCCTACCATGGTCTTCCAAAATAATTGGGGCATTTAATTTACATCTTCATTTAAAATCATTTTTATAGTCCTAGATCCTTCAGGGTACCTTAGTCTGCTGCTTATGCATTAATTCATTTATACTGCTTTCACTTGAATAAAATCATGAGGACCCCAGTGACCTTATAAGTAACTGTACAAAAATTTTACCATAATCTTGTGTCACAGCAAAGTAACCTCACCAGTGAAATTACTTCATTACCCCATGTAAATGCAATATAGTTCCACAAATCAACTTAACTCTAGAATTTATTGCCTTATTACTCAACTAAGAGGCACAAAATCCTCATTCAGGCAAAGGCAGACACAACTTCCCAATCACCAGCTAATGAAAGAGCCGGAGTGCAGAGGAGTTTTTTTTTAACCAGAAAATTGGCAACTCCCAAAAACCTTGTTAGAGTCCCTGCATTACTTTCCAAGATCCTACTGTATGGGAACATGTTTAGAGAGCTACTTTTTCAGCATTTACAAATAGTGTAGAAGTTAGAGAGTTGTAATTCCAGCTCAGTAAATCCAAAGAAATAAAACCCCCCACACTGCAGCACTCAGACTAACAGTGTTGTTGATGCTTCTAAAGAGACCATATTCACCATTTGACTAAATGTCTTGTCCATCACTCAGTGTAATGCAGGACATCCTGCCTGGAAGTGGCAGTGAATTCACGACTGTCACAGAGTAAAATCACTGGCAGATTTACCAAAGGCCCTCTCTGTATCCAGGCAAGATGTTAGCTGGATGGACACACCAAACTAGGCTTGCTGTGTGCAAGTCAGAGGAGCATTGAAGGACATTTTAACACAGCTCTGTCCCTGTGTGCTCAGAACATCTTATGATTCATGGCTGACAATTTCCTTTTCAGGTCAGCACTGTCTGGATCCAGATGCATTCATGCTAGATGTCTACCGTGCAAATCCTCAGGCAGAATGGGTGATAAAACCAAAAGCCAGCTGAAGCAGATGGCAGCAGTATACTGGACAAAAGCCAAATGGACAGGAGTGATGCCTGTCATTTTAAGCAGCTCTTGCAGAGACATAACAAAATGGTATCCACAGGACATCATTCCTACCTACTGTACTGTCCAGCTGATGGTCAGCACATAGTACTTTTGGTATTCCAGCTACCAAAGCATCGGAAAAATATCAGTTATGCTTTCATATGGATTACACTTGTGCCAGTTGGCCCAGGAGGTGAGGAGGGCAGACCAAGGTACGGTGTTCGTTTCCTGACCTGGTGTTAGAACAATTTTTGGAAATAATGCAGTGGCATCAGATGAATGAAACACTACTGACCACAGCATGACACAGAAGCATGACAGACACTGGAGAAGGGAAGATGTCTGTCAGGCATGGAAGGCGGGATCTCAACATGCAGCAGTGCCAAGACAGCTGTGTGAAAACCAAACCCTTCTCCTGAAAGTAAACCCATACAGTGTGTGTTACTGCAATGCTTGTGTCTCTCAGTCGCTCCTCATGAGTACCTGATGCTGGGGGAGGGAGGCAGGAGGAGGAACTACAGACAGCTGTACCGCTCAGTGTACGTACCACTGTATATCTCACTACCAGTCTTCCAAAATCATCTGTCTGGATCCCTCAGCTGTGTGCAATTGTAATGCCACAAACCACACTCCCCTCCCTTCTCCTGTCACACAAGTTTAAGGAGACAAAGGGTAGGTGAGGAGGGGATATGCCCCCAGCTCTGCCTTTTACTTGATACTCTCAGAACTAAATCTGTGTAATGCCAGATTATGAGATGAGTTAATGGTGCCACTTACAGTCATCACCATTTTTGTTAATCATTATATTTTCTAATTTGTAACCTAATTCTTTTTATTTTGTTTATTTTAGCTTTAATATGTAAGCAATTTTTATACTCTTCAGCTGCATCAACAAGAGAGATCTTGTTCAGGTCTTGGATAATACAGCATGGAGAAGCCACTGGGCTTCCAATGAGAAAAGGGATTTAATAATTTACACATTAGGTCTTTAAAACCACAGCCAATCTAGGCCCAGTTGTGCTGGAGGTTTTACAGTACATAGCAAATTGCAGCTGGCATGAAGTCTAAGCAAACACACAGGCTGACAAGAGACTAGTGAGCTGCCACTGAATTGGAAATGTCAGATAGGTTGTCTCATTTGGAGCTAGTCACAAGAGCAGGTGGTGTCAGTCATCTCACTTTGGGCTGTGCTGAACTAAAAGAGGTTTGCTGAGTAAGGAAATCACAAATCTCTGGACAAGAGCCAGTTGTTTTTTAATCTGTGTCATATGCAATAAGTGGGAACCAATGCCTTCAACTGCACTGCACTGCCCCCATCATTAGATGATGATGTTACACAATGAAACCACCCTCAGCCTGAGCAATGATTTTTGTTCCTGATCTGGACACAGGGATGAGGCAGCAGCTCTGTTTATTATCTAGCAACCTAGAAGCACTCTGAACTAAGTCCTCCAGGTGAACTGGAGGTAAATAAAGTCTGCTGTCCTGCTGTCTGTAACTTGTGATGCTCTGCTGAAGCTGTGCACTGAGGGTCTGAACCAGAAGCAGACCCTCTAAAATGTGTCAAGTTAATCGTGATCTCTTTTATTGTTAGCAGTCAGTGAAAGAAGTCAACATTGAATCAGTAACTTTATAGCAACAATAATGTCTACAGAGGGCAGATCCTGTCTCCTTTCTTATCTTCTTGATAAAAAATGAACAACATTTTCTTTAAAACAGTGACATTTTAAACTTCCTAGTTGTTTTGGCAGGTTTTTTGTTTTGTTTTGTTTTTTTGTTTTGGGTTTCTTTGTTGTTGTTCTTGGTTTTTTGAGTTTTTTGTTTGTTTGTTTGTTTGTTTTGTTTTGTTATTCCATTTTCTTCTTAACACTAAAGGAGACACAGTTGCAGCCAGGAAAAAAACAGGACAATTGTATTATAAAATACACTCCTTCTTTTGACAATATTTATTTTAAGTATACAAGAGATAGTAGGTCTGTGGCTTGTTTGTAGGACTAAGCATAAACATTTTGTCTTGTGCTTTGTTCCTGATACCCTTTAGTTCCCTCTGTGGCAATCGACAGCTCTTTCTGCTTATGCTGCCCTTGAATGTAAAGCCCCAGCTGTAAAGCAGGACTAGTACTTTCTATATAAAGGCAACATGAGAATTAATTGAGTTAAATTCTACTCTCAGAAACAGTTCCCTGAGCAGATCAGGAGTAATGAACATCCATCTGGGAAGAACAAACTCAGCAAAGGCTTTTTATGTGGAAAGTGCTTTGAATATAATCAGATAAATGCTAAGTATCATTGTATCTATAGCAAACTAAAAGGCATTCTGTGACTATACAGAAAGCATAAACCAAGGAAGTAATTTGAAGTGTCATAGCAAATGAGCTAACTTCCTACAGTACTTTCAGACAAACGCATTGACCTCCTCCATCTTGCCCACTCACTTCACTCTGTGCTCTCAATGGCTGTGCAAGGGAAAGGACAGAGCAGCCCTGTGTTCATGCTGCAACTTGCTCAGCACGTTCTGGACCTCATCAATGTTATTTCTGAAATAGATCTCCCTGCATTCTGTATAGAATATAAGGGGGTTTTGTACCACTTTTACCACTTCACAACTTAGGGACGTCAAATATGATATAACATGCTGTGAGCTCTTGTTTTATGCTGAAACTGCTTATAAGACATGCATATTAGCAGATGAACTGGATTATACATAGAGTGGCCAAATACCTCCTGTCTCTGAAACAGAATGTCATAATTCTCTTTTGATACAAATGGCCCTAATGACCCATGTGTAGTGAGTGGTTAATACCGTTCCACATTAAGTTGTTTTGTATTGTTTTGGTACACTAACTTGATTTAATATGCAGCAGACAAATGGAACAAGCTCAATCACATTTTGAAATATGAGGTCCCAACTTTAGGTCTTATATTTCAAGATACTGGTTGGAGGCATGAGGAATTTTGTTTCTCCTAACAGAATATGAAGTCAAAACTAAGCTGCAAGAGGATTGTCACCTAACAAAAAGTAACATATGTGGAAAGCTATTAGTAAGAAAGTGGTAGCAAGCAGAGAGAAATTTGCTGAAATTCCAAAGATGCCTCAAGCATTTATATACTCCACGGTTCTACAAGGACAGCATTTTGCATATCAACACATAGAGAGAGAGTATTGTAAAAAGCAGGTGTTTCAAAACAGACTGGAATGCTTTAACCTGCATATGCAGTGAATATCATTAGAAAGTCTGTGTGTGTGCAAATGTGTCTGTGTCCATGTATAATATTAACTACCTCACTCTGCATTTTCCAAGAAAAATATTTTGGCTTAGACATTTACTATTTAATCTATTATCAATTTACATTAATGCTGACAAAATTTTTTTTGTATGAGGCAAGATTTGAAATTACAAAAGAATATATAGTAAAATACGTATTTCGGCATATGGATGAAATTTTATCTAAAACATGTTGCCTAAATTATGCTTGTAATGTGAACCTTGTAAGATCAAATGTTGGGGTTAATAGACAATGAATACAAACACACTGTGTTTCATTTTTATTTTTCAATGGGTTTCTATTAATGTGTGTCTTCTCTGAAAAATAATACAATGCCACTAATTGAAGTGAAGTGTTTGTATGTTTTCCTCACAATCCTCATTAAGTTATGTGTTTTGTTGAAGTACGCCAACATGTAAGTGTATTTGTACAGCAGTGTGTCCACTGTATTGTATCCATGTCAAAAATAAAAACAATACAACAAAGCCAGCTCTTCAAATCTAAACACGTGTATTTTGGATAGAAGCAGGGGGCAGAAAAGCAGCTTAAAAACTTTTAAAAGCAACTGTGTTGTTACAGCACCTGAACAGCTGTAACTGAGGCACCTCAATACCACCTGAAGAGAGGATCACATTCTGCCACCCTTACTGAAGTGGAGGAGATCTTTGCTCCAAGAGCTATTCCCTTGGATTACCTCTATGCAATGTACAAAACACATTGCTTGGAATCCTGCCTCATTGAAAGCAATGGCAAACTGCTTTGGAGTTTCATTTCAGCCAGGATTTTTAAAACTAGCACAAAATACATAGAGAAAAAACTAACATTAGAACAAATAGTACAAGTGCATAGTAAAAGCCAAATAAAATAGTAAAGAACAAACAGGAGTACTGCTAGTTCAAAGAGAAAAAAAAAAGGGAGATGGGAGTAACTTGCAAAGAACTATGTTTATTATAGATGCATATTAAAGTATGGGACACATTTGTCACTGCTCAGTAATCTGGCCAGTTGATGAATGGATGTCCTTACTTGATTGAGATTGAGCACACATCCCTCAAACCTGGCTCAAGAACAACTACTGGAAGACTCATTTTAGAAACTGAGGCAGACATAGTAAGAAAAGACAAAGATAAAACTGCAGGCTGGCCTCAAAACTGCCTCCCAGTGTCCATGAGAAATACTGTTTTCCAAAGAATGATTCAACAGTTTGCACTGCCAAAATACATAATTTTTCCCAAATAAGACCCAAATTGTTTCTTCAGCAACACATCATTTCACAGGCATCTCTGTGCTGTAGAGATGCTGCTTGTCCTGAAGCTGAGTCCATGAAAGCACAAACAGGAACATAATCCATCTAGCCAATGTGTCTATAATGAGTGTCAGAAGCACTGGATAGTAAGGCACAAGGAAAAAGAGCTGGAGCTACCCTATGATGTGTAACTAAGACAATTCTATTCATTAAACTGAATCTGAGACCTTCAAAATTATGCCTTTACTCAGTCTCCTGCTCCCTCTGCTGGGCTATGTCCACTTACATTTCATATAATCAGAGCCATATAATGGCCCGGATTGGAAGAAGCCTTTAAGATTATCTAATCCCAATCCCCCTGTGGTGAGCATACTTGTAACTTCTCAGCCTACCAGCTCTTTTTCTTCTAACTAAAATACATGGACAACTGAACTACATAAAATAATGCAGTTTATTGTAGTTTTATTATGTGGTCCAAAATTATTACCTTCTTACAAAACCACCAACGCACAATAAAATGAAGTACTGTCAAGTAATCAAAAGAAAATATACTCTAAACACTGATTAATAAAACTTACCAAAACAAAAAAACTCAATTAATGCCATTAAAATTGTCGTAGAGGTATTTTTTGTTTAAAACCATTTAGTTAAAATGCAGACATGGAGCTTCTGATTAAAAAAATAAATGACCTGAGTTGGAAAACAACCAGAAAAATCAAATAGATGCAGGTTCTTATCAGTTCTTCTTTTCATTACAAAATGAGAATGCAAAATAACAGATCAACAAAAAAAAAAAATCAAAAAACAAAAAACCAACAAACCCTCTCTCAATCCAGACAGGCTTTGCTACAGTTCAGTGCTCAGCCCCAGGGCAGGAATGAGGAAACACTCCACGCAGGTCAAAAGCTCTGCTAAAGTCAAACAATTCTGTATGTTGGCCCTTGGTCAAAACAAGGTTCCTCAAACAGCCACGGAATGAACTCTTGCTTGTGAGGCAGTTTTGCTTGACATCAGCTGAAAAACAAGCAGGAAATGCATAAAATCTATTTCCACCAAACTGAAAAAAATACAAAGATCCAGGCTATTAAAAAATTTTCCCCCCTGAAAGAGATAAAACCAACACCTGAGGAGCATCAAGTTCCATTCATGTTTGTATGAACTGTGACATCCCAACACAGACAGTCATTGCTCTTTTCAAGCATATGCCATGCACAGCAAAAACTCGGCAGAGTTTGCAGAAATAGTTCTTGCCAGGGGTCAATGAAGATGAGAGGGAAAAACAGAGGAGAAAGCCCCTCTGCATGGCTGTTTCTTAAGTTAAAATAGAAACTAGAAGAATATGAAGCAACAGCTGAGCTGTACACAGTCACAATTCCCATGGCAAACCAAAAAGGAGCACATGTTAAGAGTCACTCTTGTGAGAGTAAGCACAGGAGGGACAGAAGGAAAGGGAAATATTATTGTACCTACCAGGATAACCTCCAACATAAATGGGATTGTTCGTATCTGCAGATGTTGAGTGGACGTAGGGATTATCAGTGTGAACCAAATTGCCATCAATTATCAGTGAAATGTGATGTTTGCTTTTGTTTGCTTGAAGCTTGTGCCATTTCCCATCACACAAGCTATTTGTGCCTCTTGGTTCATATGTAGCCGTTATTCTGCCAGCTCCATTGTTGACATGGAATAAAACCTGTACAAACAACCAGATGCCAATGAAGATATAAAGTAAGAATACATGAACTAATCTGACTAGATAAAAGCACAATCACAGTGGTGCAGTGATTTCCATTTTAAATGTTTGGCAATATACACAGTTAATATTTACTTTGATGGGTAGAGTAGATCCTTACTAAAGTGTTTTTTAAAATTTAAAACAACAAGGTCTACCTATGCAATGGTCCATTGATACACTTCACTAGGGATTTCAATGTTTCCTACAAATACAAATCAAGACATTTTTCACAGAACCTGAGACTTCAGATCTTAAAGAAGAATCACTGTATATAACTGAAGAGAAAGAAGAATAGCCTGAAAGCACTTGTCATGGCCAATAAATGCATTGATTTTTTTCATGTATTTATTTTTCAAAGCAGCAGACATTTCCTCAACTCTGCAGTGAGGATTAATATGTAAGTATTAACTGGGAAAGTACGTCCCACAGGAACAGTGATATTTAACACTGTCTCCAGCTAGGAAGCTTTTAATAAAAAATGAGCCATTTCTGCAAAAACAAATACTTAAAAGCAATCAAGTGTATATTTTTTTATGCAAGACAAGACTGGAGAGCTATGTATATTGATTGTTAAAAGGTTTATGGAGCATAATGGCCAGTACAAGTAGAGAATGAGTTAATTGCTCATGAATATTGAAGAAGAGGTTACAAAACAGTGTGCATTGTACATGCAATATTTTTCTCAAGGACAAGGATAGCTTTATGGCAGAAAAAGTATAAAGCAATAAAAAAGATATATATTTGATCTAAAATACATGGTATATAGTACAGGAGGTCAGAGTGGCTGCACACTAACATAAATTACACTAATTAAAAATCCAAAACCTTCCAGTGACTTCTGCTAATCACATATTTTATCATACGATGGCAGTGAGAAACCTCAAGACAAAGTCTGTCACATATTTGTTCTGTGGAAAATTTCCTCCATGACACTTCACTGGTGCATTATTCCATGCATTCCAAGGGTTCTAGCCTCCCAGTTTCAAACAAGCCCTGTGAAATCAGTGTGCCTGCACAGGGCAGCCTACCTTGCCATGTACAATTTCCAGCCCAATCGCGTCAACCTTGGTGCTGCTGACGCCGAGCAGAACGCCGTGCACCGCTGTTGTGCGGAATTCCAGGGTGATGTTCACGTCAGACCGCACTTTGTAGCCTTCTCTGGCTGAAAATAAGTTAGAAGCTTCTAGCAGAAGACTTGCAACCCACAGTACAGAGTTAAATATATACATTACCACTAAAAGGTCTAAAAGACTTGTTAATTATGCTGCTGGTACATGACCTTGCAAAACCTCTGGAAACTAAGTTTTCCAAAGTCATAATTCCCATTTTTTACTGAAAAAGATAACTTCCCAAGTAAGGTTTTTTTCAGTAATTCAGATTTAATCCATTCTATCTCATCTCTAGGAAACAGTAAAGAGCACAAATGTAATCCTTCGTGTTACTTCACAATCTTTTGTCTTCATATTCTTTATCAGACCTTAACATCATGAGCATGGATAGTCTTAGCTAATAAAGATGTAGTTCATTTTTTTCCCAGTGCTAAAATCATTATCTCTTTTCTTTGTGCAAGATAGCCCTTTGCAGAAATGACCACTTTTGGATGAATGAAGTAAAAGGACTCAGAAATCCATATGCAGGGCATGCACTCACTGTGTGAGGAGTCAGTTAATTACACACAGTTCCAGTAAGACCTGAAAGGAGTATGTTTTCCTTAACTTTAATTCAGTAAGGCACTCTTTTCATTTAATGACACTTACCAAGAGCAGCAAAGCCACTTCCATCAAAGAAAGTACCATCCTGCACTGTTTCATAGCATTTATTCACAGCAAAGATAGAGACAGGACTCTCATTGTCCACTTGATTGCCATTAATTGTCATGCTACCAATGCAGGCAGGAATACTGTGACTAACCTAAGCATATGGAGACATAAGAGACAGTTTAGTATAAACTGCTGCAATACTCTCTTATGGATTCACCTGATCTTATTGTAGACAAAATATTATCTGAACAAAACACAGCAGAATCTAAAATATTTACGTAATTAAATTTCTAGTATTACCTGTAATTATGTAAGGCACATAAAGTCTAAAGAGTCAAAATCAAATTGTTTAGAAGCAGAGTATACACTGTCTATAACATACAGGAAGAACTTTATTTGCTTGACTGTGAGCAGGGATACACCCAACAGTAAAAACATCCCAAATGTGCTGCATCAAATTAATGAGTAATCAAAAAATTTTTAGGACATTTTGCAAGTTCTCTTCATCAAAATGATTTATCTGAATCACTCCAGAAGGTGGTTGGGCACTGGAACCGGTTCCCCAGGGAAGTGTTCACAGCACCAGCCTGACAGAGTTCAAGAGGCATTTGGACAAAGCTTCAGTCACATGATGTGACTCTTGGGGTGTCCTGTGCAGGGCCAGGAGTTGGACTTCGATGACCCTTAAGGATCCCTTCCAAATCAGAACATTCTACAATTCTATGAGAAACATTATCCTATCAC